TTAGGTTGCCAAACTTGATCTTAAATAAGTAGACTTTTGACACCACTCTGCCTTTTAACATTACAGCTCTGCCTCCCCTTCCTCTTCCCTTTCCTTTTCACTAACAGACCTGATTCTTATCTTTACATCCATTCCTGTCTTGCTCTTCTAAATTCCCTGAAAGCATGTACCATAAAGGATAACTGTAACCCTGCTGTCGTCTTTTGGTCTGATGCAATACAAGAGGAATTTATCATCTGATATATCAGAGTGAGGTTAAATGTGTTCATGTGAAAAGTGCACAGCTGTCCCAAAGCACAGACAACAGCCCACACAAAACAGTACATGGTAGAGTTTTACATCTTCATTTTTCAACGAGCTTCTGTCAGGGAAGTCTTGCTCCACATAAACAGGCTAACTTTTAGAGGAAAAACCTGACATCATTACAAAACAATGTAGACCATATGTCATTACATCACTAACCGCCAAATGGTCGTTAATTTGCTTTCCACGGCTATGTTTACCACTTGATTTACAGCACCTCTTCACTGTGATGTAGGAGAGACCACCTATGCACAAACATACAACAGACCATACAAAACAAACAACCCAAAGCATCAATTTGGAAAGACGACAAGAAAGCGATATTTACAAGATGGCAAGTCTAACTTCAGCTGCCTGGTTTCTAAACTAAAACTTATATATTATACTTTAATCTTAGGTCAGTTATATAAAAATCACAGCACAGGACTGCATTACCTCATACTGTTAAAACCGGTTGGCTCAACCTCACGTATTTTATTGTAGTTCAACAATCAACACCACCATAATCTAGACTTCAGAGATCCCTTGAAAGCTGACGTCTTTCGGCTGTTAATTGCTCCTTTGTCATAGATCTTGTAAGCCGGAAAATATTTGATTCCAAGTGCAGCTGAGAGTTCAGACCATGGGAATCTATATCATAAGAAAATGTTTGATCTTTTACACCAACCCCAAAAACTCAAACATTCATTACTTGTGAAAGCCGTGAGCACTTTAAACCGCACAGACGGCAGGAACACCGCCACATCTGGTGCTTAAAACGTATCAACGACAATAAAAAGGAAATGGGAGCCGCAGTCAAATATTTAACACCTTCTGTCAGGTGCATCAAAAGAAACACACACAAATAATGAAAGGAAATGATGTTAAAGGTTGAAAATAAGTATGCTTATCTGCTCTAAACTACGGTAGATTCCCTGACCATGAAAACACAACCGTCTAACACTTTAAACAGAATGATTACAGCTGCAGTTAATGTGGTCGATGCCCATCTAATGCCCTCCGCCTTTATGCTTAAGTCATCAGAGTAAGAGGCATTCAGCAATACGTGCACCCTAACCACACTCAATCATAAAGTACAACAGCGACATTCTTGGTGACAAAATAAATTTATAGGCTGTTCAACATCTCCCACTCTCCCTCTCACTGGCCTGCTAACTGTATAATTTCTCTGTTACAACACTCTTACCAACCATGCCTGCAGTACTGCACTCGTGCCAAAGCATACATCAGCCATACTGAGTGCATATTAACAGAGCGCTGTGCCAACTTGACCCTGGAAACTGGGAGCCAAAGAGGACTCTAGGGCATAGACTGAGCCAGAATCCCATGACAGGTGGATATAAAGTGGATATAAGGGAATAAATAGCAAGAGGTGGGGTTTCAAACTTAAATTACCTGGGGGCCACAAGTTAGGTTGTTTTCTCAGAGGGGAGGAGGAACAAAAATGATGGTGCTTGTCTTTCCCTTTCCTCCATACTGTTTTGCATGTTTAGCAGAGTAACACTGATGAACTTGATGTCCTCCTGAATCCATACCCTGATTGCCAATACCTGTAACTTTGCGATGTTAGTCCATCCATCAGTCTTAATTTTAGGTTTAGAAAGAGGCATATTGGTGTCAGATGTGCCAAAGTAAATCAGAGTAAATGTCCCATTTTAGGAGCCTTTATAGACTATTAAATGACTAAAAATAAAAGCCATGGAAAAAGTCTGAACTTAGCAATACATTTTTAAAAAATGAAGCTTATAGTTAGTATGTATGTCCAAGTAAAATTGTTCACTATAAGTGTATGATTATCGTAACCAATTTTTTTGTTATTTCTTATGCACATTTTGTATGTTTATTACATTTGTATGAATAATGAAACAGAAAGCTTCACTATTTATTGAATTTTGATAATTTCAACATACGGTGCATCTGTTTTATCACAGCAACATTACGTGAACGGCCTTCATCAATCCACTTGACGAGGGTAACTTGTTTTCTGTCTACATCACTAGCAGCCATAAGCTTTGAGAAGACTATGTAAAGTAAAGTAAAGTAAAGTAAAGCCCTATTTGGACGGGATTAGTTTAACGTGGAGACGTGGGGTAAAGTAATCATTACCAGGGATTTTTTTTCGATGATGGAGGCGCTTGAAGAAGCATGCGGTGTTGTCGGCAGTCGTGATAGTGGACATTCTTCTAATGATCGCATTGCTCTCTTCAAAAAAAAAAAAAAAAAAAAAAAAGTACCATAGTTTTAAATTGTTTTTCTACATGTTGTCATGTAACAAAGACCCAAAGTTAACACTATAAGCGGACAACTTGATTACTATAAGTGAATTACTTAAACAGCATTTGTATAAAATTGATTTTGTCCAAAGCTTTTTGATCCATATAAGCAGATTCCACTGCATCTCCTGAGCTGGTAGTTGCATATACTGTACAGCTGGTGAATCTCAACTTGGGTGCACTGCTGACTACAGAGCTGGTTTTAAAATGTCAAGGAAATGGTTTGACAATTCATTGGCCCTCGCCCATGACCACATTTCACCCCACTCTACTGTTAATATACCACCTGTGAGCATGTGGACCAGTTTTTGTTTGGGATGGAGTGCAGTAAGTGAGATTGTTTTCTGGAAGAGTTAATGGTTTATCCCGAGAGCAGCCAGTGCCCTTTTGAGTTAGACAGGGGCAGGCAGGAGGGATGCAGGCACGCTGCCCTGGGTGGTGTTCACATAAATAAACAGAGGTGGCCAGCCACATGTGCGGCTGCCAACCTGCCTGCCAGCGGACAGTCCTCAGTGGGGCAACCCTGGCAACCATTATTAAGGCAGACTCTGGCTCTGAGCCAGAACTTAAGTTTAGAGGTATTTTCACATGTCTGGCATCGTGTGGGAGTGTGTGTGTGCATGTGCTTGTCTAGACGCTGTGAGCGCACTAAAGAAGAACACAGTCTGACTAATGCCATCTGTGTGTGTGAGAGAGCGAGCACTGTGAGGTGTTCAGACACCATCACCATTAGTCAATTGAAGGCCAAGGGCAAGGACACAAAGGCACGTGTCTTGGCTTGACTGCTCACATTAACAGCACCATCAGATGGGCAGAGAAAAGAAATATATATATATACACACACACTCATATCCAAGGAAAACAGGCCCCAGGCCACCATAGAGAATACACGCCAAAGATCACCACCTCACATCAGCGCCACCACATGTTGTCATCTTGATCTGTACCAACCCGGGGCTAAACCTGTTTAAGCTGACTGATCAAGGTCCTCTTTAATGCTAAATCTCGACCATTTTCTTTCTTTAATTCTGGGCCTCTGGACAAAGAACAGCACATTAAAACAAGATATAATAATTTTGAGTTCACTCAGTATTAGAGCGGTCCTGTACTGACTGTACGAGTACAACAAGTCTTGATAGTTTACAAGTGACCTAATGAAAACTCCTCAGCAATTGTGTTAAGAGCTTCCATCATCCTTTCCTGTCGCTGAAAACAAGTAGACTAAAGGAACGCAGGGACAGCTAAGACAGCTTCATCTGTCTTCCTAATTGATACCGAGAGGGTATCAAGAGGAAGGGAGGGAGGTTGAGATCGTCACTCTTTCTTTCCATGCGGAGGCCAAGAGAAAATACTTGTACGAAGACACCATCTATTAAGTAAGCCAACACTCTCACATGGATTCTGAAGGACGGTATTGAGCTACAGTTTGAACCACCTAGAGGGCTTGCTTTCTGTTTGGTGTTTCTCTTGCACAATGTTTGTCCCTTACGTACCAGTATTCATCTTGGTTAGAGAGACTCAAGGTTGCTCGCAGGCCGTGTTGACGACAAGCAGATGCTGCCTGTCTTTGTGTATGTGTGCTTGGGTAAGAAAAAGAACGACGGAGCATAGAATCTCATTGCTTTCCTGCTCTGTAACAGAATTTCTAACAACACCAGTAAAAGGTCCGAGGAGGTCTTAATAACAGTCTTAAAACAACTGCAGTGAAATTACACACCTCTACTATTTTTTTATGCCTCACCTAATTGCTTTTTTGCAATTTCCACTAGATGGGAAACACAAGGGCCTTTAGTAACTTATCTAAAGAAACCTGACCAATAACTAGGGAATAATAGGCGTTCCCGGCCACTGTGAGAGTTTGGACTGGAGAAGCAGAGCTGAGGAGCAGAGAGATTACATCATCTTTCACTAATATGAACCTGCTTGCTTTCTGTCTCTAAATATGGGATGAGAACACCAAGTAAGAGAGAGCTGGCAAGCTAACGCTGTTTAACTGATTTGCTTCAATAACACACACATGCCACACACACATATCTCGCTCTCATGTGGTCAGTAATCATGGTCCTACTCTCTGGCAACCTCTGGTCCTTTTGTCTGCCAAGCTGACAGTGATTGCTGTGAATGTGCTAAGAGTAAGACTATGAGATGACATAAGCCTCACACAAAGTAATGCCAGGCGCAGGCCTATCCGTTTCAGTAACACTAACTGTGATGACAAGGAGCCTTCTGACTTTGGATTAGCCCGCAAAGACTTATATAATCTGCATCAGCCGGTCACTTATTAAAGCCACACAATAACCATTTGTACTGTGCAGACACAGTGCCTGACCCTGTTCAACCTTATGGATCAGAAGCACGAGTTTCTCTTTGTCCCCATGTTCAGCTGCCACCTCTAATCATCTCTCACTCTTCACTTCTTCCCAGGAAAACAATGCACCCGCTCGGCAAAAGCGTCAACATGGTTTCCTGGAATCAAGATGATCCAAAGAAAGACAGCTCAGCGCCTCCCTTTCACCTTGTGCAGCCCCCAAAAATCACTATTCCAAAGGCAAACAGGCGAGACAAGAAAGAGAGGTGGGAGGGCAGACGTGCAAGAGATGACCTGTCCCGTGATGACTTGTTGTTTCTGCTCAGTATTCTGGAGGGAGAACTACAGGTAGGATGATTTGTGCACATCCTGCATGCACATTCAATCTCACTTAAAAGTCACATTAACTTCACAAAGTAGGGATGCACCGATTTATTGGCCAAACATCAGTATTTGCCTTTTTGACTGTCATTGGTCTATCAGCAAATAAGATTACGAGTGTTTTTCCTTTGTTTCACATCAGTTTTGCACAGGCTAAAAGGCAGAGCTCAAGACTAACGGCGCCCTGTCGTCCCAAAAACAACAAAAAACGTAACAGTAAACTACCTATTGATGCATTCACCCTATTGTTTCCCTGATAATGTTGCATGTGAAAATCCATGTTGATGGCAGGAGAAGAGCTAGTTAACCTTAGCTGTTAGCAGCCAGGGGCCAAAACTAACTGCTGGCAGAGGTTACACTGAGTTACATTATGATGCGTTCAAGCTCTTTTTGGTAAAAATGAGTATTAGGCAAAGGTAAATCATAATGTTGTCATGATGTGTTCAAATGTAATCTTGTAAAATTTTGTTTTGGGTGAGAAACTGGAATAAATACAGATGTATAAAGAAGAAATTTGTTGATGTGTTGACGCAATTAAATATATATAAAATACATATTAGAGAGGGAATTATGATATTATATATGGTAAAAGGCTAAAATGTTTTTTTTTAGTGAAAGACTGTTATTTCAAAGGTTGTTTCATGAAGTTGTATGATAGAATTTGTGCTTATTCAAAAGACATCAGCATCAGTATTGGCTGTCAGCCACATAGATATTTAAAACATTGGTATCGGCCCAGAATTATGCAATTGGTGCATCGCTAGCACAAAATATTGAGTGTCACTGTCATAAGACATCTAAATTAAACCCAGCACTCAACTGCAATGTCTGTCACACCAGGCCAGAGATGAGGTAATCGCTGTGTTGAAATCGGAGCAGACAGACTCAGCTCTACTGGGGGCCCAATATGGTTTCAGCAGACCGGAGAAGGTGCTCCGTGCCCTGCAGAGAGACTCCCTCCGGGCCCAGCAGGACCACCAGCAGGATGTGAACAAAAAACCAATTGCTGAGGTACCAACAGCCAATAGCAAGAGACTAGACATCATATGGAGCTGGTGATCAAATTTAATGAGGGGAATGCATTACTGTCTGACAAAAGAACATCTCTTGCTGCCACATCATTACACAAATTTGTTATTTTGCACTACAGGTGTTACATGCGCTGAATCTATTCTTCTGCAGTGACTATAACTCTGTCAATTTAAGTTTTTTTCCACTTATTTCTTACAGTGTTATTTCTTTATGAGAATACGTTTCTAATGAAAACGTTTCTTAAATCTCAAACATTCATAAAAAACAATTTGGGTGAAAAGATTCTTGAAAATTGAAGGTTCAGTGTGTAGGATTTAGGAGGATATTTTGGCAGATGTGAAAAATAAGACAGGAAGTTGTCTTTAGTGTATAATCACCTGAAAAAAAAAAAGGGTTATGTTTTCATTACCTTAGAGTGAGTCGTTAATATCTACATAGGGAGCAGGGGCCTCATTTATAAAAGAGTGCTTAGGATTCATACTAAAAGTTGACGTGCGCCCAAAAGCTGAAAATGGTGTGCGCCAAAAAATAATCTGATGTTTGACATTGATGTGCGACATAAAGAATCACATTTATTAAAGGTGGAGGCAAAAAGGAGTATGTGCCGGTGCCATCTTGTGCAATTACGCACGAGGGTCACCGCAGTATTTATATGTTTATGGCAATTAGTCTGATCAGACACCCAGCCTGAATTACAGCATGAACCAATGGTATCCCTGTCCCAAAATACAACGTGTAATTTGAAATACAATTCAAAGATGAAAGTGTAATAGGCGAACACGTTTCTTCATGCCGGTTTTGTCATGAACAGCACATGTCTAAGTAGGGCTGATGAAATGAGTGTGTAACGGTTGTGCTTAATGGCTGTATTTTGAGACATGATAAATGCACTGGAAATATTTAGCTAAATAAATAAATATATTCCATGCAGTCGCGCCATCCTCTCCCCCTCCTGCGCTCACAGAGTGGACAATGAGACGTTAGAGGCAGTGCGGATTAAATACGTATTTAGAAAGAATTTCAATTTGATTTGATTTGAGTTGGATTTTACAACGTTTTTATGAAACAATTATCACTCACTCCAAGCGCAAAATAAAGCTGCAGGATTTAATTTCAGTGATAACGTGGATCTAAGGTGGATATAGCGTGACATTAAATTTGTGTGAGACATCAATAAAAATCTGACTCCACCTCGCCGTCTGTGTTGCCACTTCCCAGTGTCTTCCAAAATGTGCACACGCATGACTCAGAGTTTGCTTACAGGTACGCATATTCTCCCGCCAAGTTTATTTTTATAAATCACAACCTTTGCGTGGTAAGTGGTGTACGCCACTTTCAAGCCCCGTGTTGTGCGTAAGCAAGCTTTATAAATGAGGCCCCAGGTCCTTATCTACAGAGCCTGCTCCCTATGCACCACCATGCTTTTACAGGAGCCCAGAATGGACAAACCAAACACTGGCTCTAGACAGGGCCATTCACAGTTTTGCATTAGTCACTGCACTTAGCAGCCCCTCTGTGTCAATCAGCGTCAGAAAAACACTGATTTCATAATGTGAAACTACTTTATTCTATGTTTTTACCAGTTTAAATCACCCTGTTCTTTTTTTTTTTTTTTTTTTTTTTTTAAAGAAAGAGACCTCTGCGGATAATTGGGCTCCCAGTAAAAACCTCCTGAACAATGAACACTGAAGGAATTCTAACCAGGAGAATTTTCAGCTGGTTGTAATCTGCAATTCTTACCACTAGATGCCACTAAATCTTTTAAGAGCTTCACATGCCAAAATCCTCACACTGATAACTAGGGCTACAACCAATGATTATTTTCATTGTCGATTAATCTGTGAAATATTTTGTTATTTAACTGGTTAGTTTTTTGGTCTATAAAATGACAGAAAATGGTGAAATTAATTGACTATCTTTAATGTTTTGCTTTGACCAAACCTAGGGATGTTATTAATTAAGCGTTAACTGACAGTAAGAATTTTGACATTTTAATACTATCAGTTAAACAGTAGATAAATTAAATATATTATACTGGTGCTACAGGGGGAGATAAGACAGTGGAGTCTGCTGCTACCCAGGCTGGAGTCCTACGCCACCACCAAAGCTATGCCATTATGTTGCTCCTGCAGACAACTAGAGTACCCCCAAAAAGTTTATGACCCAGAGGCAGAGGTGGACACCTATATGAGAGATGATACCCCCTCATTGGAGACTATTTCTCTTCACTGGTGGAAAGAATCAGTAAACAGTTAGTTCGACATCTGCCTAGCTAGTACAAGCTAATAGAGCATCAGCAATTAACATCCAAGGCCGAGCCGTTAAACGGTCCCAAGAAAATCACACCAACACCAAAATGGCTTGACTCTATTGTCAGACCATTTGAATGACATTAGCCGTTTGATGCTAACATTTAGCCCTGTCACTTTGTGTGTGTGCTGAGCAGGTGAACTCTCAAGGTCCCAAGTGTGGAGCTCACACTCCTGCTGCAGTAGTAGTAGATAAACAGAGAGAAAGAGAGCAAGGCAAGGAGGCGCTGAGCAAAGCAATATGCTACACACAGCTCTATGGAAAAAAACTAAATTAGCATTGAACCAGAAAATATTGACTTTTTCCTTTCTTAAAAAATAACTCAAACTGATGAATTAATTATCAGATTAGATGGTGATTAATTTAATAGTTGACAACTACTGGATTAATTGATCAGTTAATCTCTCTTTACAGCCCCCTGTGTTGTTTTCGCCTTTTCCCTCAGCTCAACCATTTGGTGGAGTCCCAGAAGCGCTCATTTGAACGGATGCAGCAGCAGTTCCTGGAGGTGTCCCACTCTCACAGCAGCGCCCTGCACAGGCTTCAGGAGCAGGAGAGCAGCCACGGGGCTTTTATCCACAAGAGTCACTGCCTTACCACTCTACTGGAGGAGGACAGAGAGAGGTTGGTGCACCAAACCCGAGAGGTTCAGATGATTGTTTAAGCAAAGACAACACTGATATTTTCCATTTCCCACTAAATAGCTATCCTGCCTTGAAGCAAGACTTGTAGAAACATCCACGCCTTTCAGAATCAGAGTGTAAAAGAGATGAGGATTTACAGCTAGCGTAGAAGAGGCTAAGGGATTAAAGTATTTCAGCGCACTGGAACAAGCCAGATCTGAGCTCTGTGATGTACACTTGTGCAGGCTTAGATTCTTTTAGTCTATGTTGGTCTGTAATGCTCTTCATGGCTGAGTGAGAGAGCAAAGGCACTGCTGGCTGCTGCATTTCTACCACCCCCAGTGTATGTGACCTCAAGACTGTACTTAGAGTTACTCCACTCAGACACAGTCCATTACATCCTGGACTTGGTTGGACCTTGCGGCCAGCCTGGCTCTGTTCACTCTCCCTTGTAAACACATAAACATGCACTCACATGCAATTACATGTACAGTCTAAATTGGCACCCTCCTGCCCAATTCAACAATACCGCACAGCACAGAATAAAGCCTTCTTCTAAACCGAGCAAATGGCCTGATGGTTTACTTGTGGGCAGAAAGATTCCCTTCAGAAATAGAGAGCATATTTAGATGTGGCCTACGGGTACAGCTAGGTCTAGGCAAGAAGGTGGTCACTGGTTCTCCTATGCAATTTGAGGCCCACAACGGGGCTGTTGTGTTGAAGTCCCGGGTTGTCTCGGCTCATGTACCATCCGAGTCCACTCTGTAATCTAGCTGCGTAGAGACTGGACCCGCACTGGGCTCGCAGCCTTGGGAGGAGACTAGTTGTCTGCATCTGTGTGCCAAAGTGCAAACGTTTACTGATCCACTGCAGGCACACACACGCAATTAAAGACCAAAAATAGCCATGCCAGTAGAGTGATTAAATTTACTAGAATTCTGCTTAGTCAAATACAATGTGGAAACCCTAAACATGCACACATAAAGGCTTTGTGGTTCATCTTTGCCTAATGATGATTAATACATGAGTAGACAGCATGTCTGTGGTGCAGTTTGAACCCTGTGTGGCTCATACATTCCTGACTGTTTGAACACAGAGGATTTTTCATCTCCTGCCCGCCCTCCTTTATGAATTCCTTTTAAGAACTTGCGCCGAAAACATCACACTTGAACTTAACACATAATTTTAAGTTGCAGTGTTAGCTCAGGCTGTGGGGTATTCCAGCGGGTTTTGGGTTCTTCTCCAACCAAAATAATTTCATGTTTCTCAACTTTTACATTTCCCATCTTCCTTTTGGTGGCCATTTATCTAGAGCTTACATAATTAGACAATATATCGGTTAGCAGTCCTGCAGAGCCAGACCTATCTTCACAGTGCAGTGTCAGCGCTACAGAGATAGGCCTGGAAGCACACATTATCATTCAAAAACGCTCTAGGTTGTTTGTAGTTCTTCGAACCAAACATAATCGTTCCAGGCAGCGGTAACCCCAGAATGCAGTGACAGTGCCCTTGCAAAAAAGTGTAAAGGCGGAACTTATTTTGGTGGAACATTTGCACACAGGGAGGCGAGCACTGTCATTAAAATGGCTAATTCTCCACACAAAAAACAGTAATAGACTTTTGTTGACCGACAACTTCTTAAAAGACAAACGTAATTTGATAATCGGTGCCCGACAGGTTAAGCATGGTTATACTTTAGCTCTGGAGGAGCTCATTGGACCCGTTAAAACCACAGACTATAGTCTAGCTGTGTGTGGCTCTTGCAGAGCATTATTAGGACAATATTACAGAGGTTTGTGTAAAGTGGAGTAGATCCGTACATTGGTGACGACAATGAGAGTCTTGCAAGATGGAGTCCAGTCTGAGGTGCGTTTACAAGTTGTCGTATTCGTTGTAGATTTTTGTAAGGCCTGCCTTAGTGCATGACCCAAGTTTTCGTCAAAACTTGCAATTTTCAGCGTGTATGTTGTTAGCTCGGAGGTTAGACAGCAGAAGGGAGGGAGAATCTCAGTAAAAAAAAAAAGCCTATCGATGGCAGGTTAATAGCCAAAGTCCACATACAGTGAGTCAGACTAATCGATTGGTAGACAGCCAGAACATTAGTATGTAACTTTTGATCATCAAATAGTTGTTTCAGTTTCTTTTGTCAAGCAAAAATGCCAAACATGATCTAATATTGCTCTTGACTTGTCTTTCTTGGTAGTAAACTGACTATCTTTATGGCTATTAAACAATCAGAAGATGTAATGATGGGCATTTGTCACCATTTTCAAACATTTTATAGACCAAACAGTTACTCAATTAATTGGGAAAATAATCAGCAGATAAATCGATAATGAAAACCATACTTGCAGCTCTTCTGTGATGCCTTAAAACTCAATAAATGGCCTACTCCTCTCTGCACATCCACAATCAGTCCACACAGCAATGCTCTCTTGCCTGTACATATTTATTTTTGTTCTAAGGCACACTTGGAAAAGAGTTTATACTCCCATTCTTTCTGATCGGCACTGTGCTGCAGCTTCTTTGAGCTTGGCACAAATAGGTTTGAGCTGAGTCAATGCTTGCATTTATCCACAAGGTAAACAACACACGGCACATGGCGATACAGCCAGTCCCTTTCATCTCCCTCTCCATCCTGTCCCTCTTACATCTCGCACTGCAGTAGCCTAAATATTTAACTGAAAGAATTTCCACTCCTACTCCAAATCCTCTTCAACTATCTTTCAATCTCCCTCCCCGTTTCTTTTCAAAGCGTACGCTCTGAGCCAAGAGAGCCACTCAGCCCGGCTTAAAATCAGCGCCCCTCTCTCCCTTTTTCATTTCCCTACAAAAGTAGCTGCACAAGGTGCCATGTGCACAGCAGATGACCTGTTTTAGCAGTGAACTATACAGTAAATTCCAGTCACGGCATATAATCACTTTTTGCCATAGTATGATCCTGGTTGCGTGTCAAAGGATGATTACATCTGCACATCACAATGCAGCAATCTGGTTGTTCCAACCTCAGCTATCAGAACACACTCTAAGACTGTGTGTGTGTTTCCTATGGCCTGTCACCGAGCTGACAACATTTCAGCATTAACTGCACACACATGTTCAACACACCAAAGACATCCGTGCTCTCATCTGTTCACTTGAGTTCTGACTCATACACTTTTCACAGACTTTATCCTGCACCCGCAAACCACTTTTAAACTACATCATGTTTTCACTCCCTAATTGATGTGGCCTTCTCATCAATACATCATCAATAAGTGCTACAGATGTAGGAAAGGAGGGCAGATGATCTCAGAAATATTTAAAAGACTAAGAGTCTACAGCTGTGTTAGAGGCTTTACTTTTGGGGAGCTGTCATGTCTTCCATCTTTATTATACCATCTATGGGCAGGCTAAATGCTCACAGTGGCCATGCTGACATGCCCAGGCAAAGTAGTTATAATGTTTAGCATTTTAGTTTAGCATGATAGCATACTAGCATTTGCAAACTAGCATTAAACACAAAGTACAGCTGAGGAGGCTGATGGAATGTCATTAGTTTCACAAATGCTTAGTCGTAAACCAAAGCATGACACATTTGGATTTTGACCCAATGATTAAAGGCCGAGGGATGACAATAGTTATTACAATTCATTCTGAGGGGAACATGAATGTCTAAATTCCATGGCAATCCATAAAATAGTTGTTGAGATATTTCACTCAAAACCAAATGGTGACCTCATGCAGGGCTAAAGGAAAGTGCAGTGAACCACCAACATCATTAGAATTCATCCTCTGAGGATCATTAATGAATAAATATATTATTTTAATAAAAATGATCCAATATTGGTTCAAAGATTTCACTAAAATGTCTACCTGCTGGTGGTAATAGAGGAAAACTCAGTCGGATTTTTCTCTTTTGGAAACCGTTAATGTCAGCACAGAAGTTAATACCTGCCCATTTAGTAATTGCTGAGATATTTCAGTGTGAACCAAAGTGGAGAACGATCAACCAACAGAGGGACAGACTGACATTGCTATCACTAGAGCTGCACCACCAGCACAGCTAACAAGCAGACGGTGAAAAAACAATCTGGCTTGGTTAAACATGGTGAAGGAAACATTTTATAAATTTTGCTCAAAGGAGAAGAACCAAGTAAACTTGGCTGTGCCTTAGCGGAAACCAACAGCTGTTCTGTCCATCCCTCACACTCAAACACATCCACCATCTGCCGGCTCAGCCAATAATGTGTCAGAAGAAGATGTGCATAAATTACCATAGGTGTCTGGCAGCGCATCGCAAGCTGTTGGGCCCATTTATTAGCCATACAAAGCATATGAGGTCAGTTTATTCATCCCTCAATTTTATTAAACCTGCTGATGAATGAAGAGAAGAACGCCAGGATAGGCTGCGTGAGCAGCTGCTTTTCTTTATGCATCTTCAATAGGCCTTTTCTGTGAACCTGTACAGCATCATGCTTCATACAGCTAGAGGATATGTCAAAAGTCAGCAGCTAAAAAAACTCAGTAACTCCAAATTACACCCCTGGATGAAAATAGGAGCTACGACAACAGAAGCGAGAGAGCTCCTCTCATATAAGGGGCAATGTTTGAGGCTTTTCTTGGAAGTGCCTTTGAGGGAACGGATCATGCTTGTAATTGAGGACAAGTGCCGCGGATTGCCAACCCCTCCTCTAAGCAAAACAGGACCTCATGAACTCTGGTCTGGGAGTTGGTCTGTGGAAAGGAATTGCGAGGAATGAGGAGCATTTCTCTCTCACATTCCACAACCACAGAAATATCTTATCTCACTAAGACCTTACGAAAGATTCTTTAGAGTCAGGACAGAATAATCAAACACTATGATTTAGTATTGGTACCCTTATCTAGTCTGCAGCTACAACTACTGGGGCCCATAGCTGATAATCAATTTGCAAGCACTTAGGGAGAAGAGCAGCGAGACCAATTCCTAGTGTTTGAACAACACATTACAGTGGAAACCTCTTACAGTGATCACGTCTG